TGCATTTACTCCTTCGCCTCCATCTGTAAGGCAGGTTACGTTGGCCGAACGAAGAGGCGCCTCTCTGATAAGATTATGGTACACCATCCGGCTTATAATTGATTATCGAAAAACAACCCGTCTATTCATTTCTACGTATCTCGCTGATAATGGCCATGCAATTAAGTTAGCTGGGTCATTCAAATTGGTCTATCAGGCACCGCACAATCAAGCAAAATGCGTCCATAAGCGTTTAATTTGAATCTGCTGAGGACATCGCGATTCACCTGTACGAGCAGCAATGTGCCTTCAGGAACGGTTCACTCAAACGTTAAGACTGTCTTGGCCCAGGCAATACGTGACGCCTGACTCGCGGAATTTTGTGCACATTGCAGTTGTGACCTAACGGAAAGCGATTGCTAGATCATTGATCGTGAACTGAACGAAATTTACCAACCACAACGTTGTGTCTACCAGTTGTATCTCTTTCCACATATAATTGCACAAGCCGGATGAAGAATTATTAAAAACAAATGTTCGCTTGCATCGACTTTTGATCCAGAAAGAGATCTTTTGCTACGCAACGCTTGTGTTGAACGGATTACCTACCGGTGCGTCATTTGAATCAGGAGACTGCAACCTCACATTACACAACACGCTCTGCATTGGTGGCAAGCTTGCGTTACTCAATCAACAGCGAAAGTGGCTCAAGGGCAAAACTTTAATAGTTGAACAGGGTCTTTAAACACCGGTTCATTTGTAGTGTTTTCACCATTTGTTCTTGGCCATCGCTGAATAAATTCGGATCGGAGCTCTATTATTTATACTGCCCTCCTGTGGGTGTCCTACTATCTAGTTCTAGCAATTAATGCTGCTTGTGCATCATCTTAATACCCTACTGTGTACTTATTGGAAACAGTTTTTACTTCTGTGAGAAAGAGGATTTCTCTACTTAAGTTAAGGGAATGATCAAAGACGGCTCCTAACTGCGCGGAAGCGACTGCCACTAAACCATCCGTTATTACGGTAGAAACGAGGCGCCCAAGCAAAGCTGTGTTTACTGGTAAGTCTCCTATGATAAAAAAGCCAATAATCTGAAGTTGATCTATCTTGACACCGCTGACCATATTTCCAGCACCACTGGAAATATGCAAGCCAGTCGTTACGAATAGGGCGTGCTGAAATCTGAGCGGTCACACAGCAGAAGAGCACCTAGTTTCTGTGCTGGCCTTTGTAGACCCGATAGCCAAAGTATTCTTTAATAATTTAGGGTGCTCAAAATATGCAGTACTCTTCGATATTCCCGAGAAAATTGCGCTCAATTTAGCAAGGAATATCCTGCTTAGAGCCGGGGATATGGCAAATGCACCATGCAGTTTTACGACGCTATAAACGAACGTACAACAACTTTCTAGTGGCATAACGTTTTTATTTGCAGATGCTGTTAATTCCGTAGGGTTTTTGGAAATTTTGAAAAATTCTGACAAAACCACGCTTTATTCCATAAAAGTTGCTTCAGGTTGCACTCCCTTTCAATGCAAAATTGTCCAAAAGAGATAGTTCCTCCATATACATCGAGAAAAGACACTCAGCAGTATTTGTTCTGTGCGCCAGCTACTGTTATCACTCCGCTATAGAACTATAACGGTTTTGCCGCAGACGATAAAATAACAATGCTACCAGCATTCTAAATCCGCTGAAACTGCTCACCAACCTACAAGTAGATTTGATGAGGTCTGGAAAAGCTGGCTCTTGGAAATGCTGCAATACCGATCGAACGTCACACGCCAGACCGATAGGGACTGAACATGTTGCCGGAAACAGATTGGTCAGCCAATCAGGAAATAGTTGGCCCGTCATCGCATCCAGCCTGCAACAATTCACTGAACGTGCAAGTGACCAATCAGGCGCCAGCGCGCGAAGGATCGCATACTCGTGCACCCTTGAGCCAAGGCTCGTGGCACTGGACCGAGGGAAGAAGCGCGCGGGCACAACCCCGCCGATCGTGCATCCACTAAGAAAGTCAAGATGCTTTTAGACAGAGGGAAGGTGGTGAGCAAGCATAGACCAATGAAAAAGAAGCCATGGACGCAATGCAAATAACTGGATGATCCGTTGAAACGGACTGTTGTTAGTAGCAGGTATACTCTATAAATATTCGAGCGGAATCTCAATTGATGACTTCGTGATAGCGACCCAGTCTTCTTGATTCCAGGAGGGCAAAAGTACCCTAGTATAGTAAATATTTTCCAAGATGTTAAGAATAGTAATTACTCCTGCCGATCGACCAAAATTGGCGGATGCAGCTGAAAAAGTAAACTCTTTGGGTGAACAGATAAAAACCTTCACGAATTATGATCTACAATGGTCGACATAGGAAAGTGTTGTACAACCTTTTTGTTTATTTGTGCCGTTGATTTAGATAATTCTGAGTATTCTTGGAATGACCAGATGTATATTTATGTTGTTGATTGATTAGAGTTCGCAAAGTGGAAATGGCAATCAAACTATCAGTCAAAATACGCCAGCAATCATCACTGGTTGAAGTCTGGCCTAGCAGATAGTCGGCACTGTATCCTCACGGCAAACTTTACAAGCTTTCCCGCACATAAATCGGGAACCATACAATAAAGACATTCGTGAGTTACCAACTAATGTGTTATAGGAAAACTCTGGACCACAGTGTTAGTGACAGTGTTCTAGCATTTAACATGACAGATTCTGTAATGGTTCGTGAGGTGTCATTCTATCTGCACTTCATCCGATATACAACCACACTTAGTCACAGCCAATATGGTGCAAAAAGAGGCAAAATTAACCAGCGTAATTAGGCTATGTTGAGAGCTTAAGCTATTATGGTTATCAAGCTAGGTGTTATCTACACATTGCCATACGTAATACGTGTATTCTTTAGTATCCGACTGTCTCGCGTCTATCTGCGTGAACGGTGATTCACTTAAAAACATTAGTAATCGACTACAGCCGAGTCGCAGCAATATTGTCAAGTAATTAGTACCCATTCTTCCAAGTGCCATCTGCGAAAAGGTATCCCAGCACCAGATTAAACAATTCACTGTAGCACTTGCTATTATTGATTCAACAGTCTAATAGGCGCAAGCAAAACCGAGTTAACACACACTATTAACACTCAACATTCCAGAATCCATGAGCGGAGCGATTTTGCGAGAATCATAGAATTAGCAATCTACACCAGCAATGCTTAACTAAGTGCGCCAACTTTGCGTCTTGGATCTTCTGTACAATTTTGTCTAATACTAGTGCATCTAAATTATCAGAATGATGTGAACACTTTGTTAAACCAACAGAAGAAGATACGTCAGTTCAATGGACTCCAAAACGTCATCATCAAATGAGTGTGGCATACATAAATACCCCGGTTACTCAGACGCAGCATATTCATCCAGTTAAATCATCCGTTGTCAAACTGTCTTTATTCATGGACACAGTGCCATTCACAGGTGAATGTAACGCTAAGTGGGCGATTTCTAACTGGGCGCATTCGGTTGACCACAACCCATAATTTTCGTATCTCGTCGCAATCACGCCGACGGTCAAGGACATCCCTGCGCTGCTTCGTGATTGAGCCACAATCCAAGTAGCTCTAGTTGATGGGCCAGCCATGATTACTTAAAGCTCGCAGCTTGATATACTAAATTCATCCACGTCCTTGGTTCATGCTGAAGTATAACATATCCTAATGAATATAGTAGAATGCCCTGGACCGCGAAATGGCATTCTACTCTTTCTCAGCAATGCTCGTTCTATCGTCAACGAAATACACATACTTCAACTCACCACTCCTCTAGTTTATCCTCATGTTCTTCTTATTACGAAAAATTAGTGTTGTAACGAAAAACCAGATACGCTTATCCCGTACCATGCTATAAACTAATTCGTAAAAGTCGTGCAGTGGGTAGAGGTGGAGGCCGTTCCATTCATGTTCGACAAGACCTCTAAGTCGAGGAATTGTCCGATTCCTAAATTTGCCCAGTCACTGATTCTGTTTGGATAAGAACATTGTTTAAACATCTAGAATTTCTAGTGGGCGGCGTCTTTAATCTACTACCTTCTATTGGCATAGCAGGACTAAACTTTAGATAGGTTCCGCAGGGAACGTGGTTGCCGTGGACTTCAACATGTCACAATTGTCGTGAGCTTCAGTCTCTGGTCCACAAATGCCGTCTCGGTTATTATCATGTTTGCGTCCGCACAGCCCGTTTTCAAAAACGATCCGACAATGCATTAGTTGATTGGAATTCTGCTTGTCCACTGACGACAAGGCACTGCCAACCACTGTGCTAACCAACCCCCGAAATCGGAGTATGCGGATTTACTTTTGTTTTACGGTGGATATTTCGGTGATTCCACGGATGCGCGTTTCACTTCAGTGTCACACCTTTGCTATTGATGCCATACGCACAAACTATCAAATTGGACTTGTCAAGCCTTGGATTTTAAACTCATATTATGCCACTGCTCTCTCGTTCCATCCTCAACGTCGATGGGAAGCCAGCAGATAGCCTGAGCTAAAGGTGAACCTTGTTACACCTACCGTCCGTCTCCAAATTCAAGAATGGCAAGAATGTAGAGTCTTAGAATTATACACTAAGAGTTTGCAGTGAGTACTATTGTCTTTTGCGACGTGATCTCGTATTTGTGTATTAGATTATTATGTATCCCAACACCACACTTAGGAGCCACCATTTGGATTTGGCACCACAGACTAGCCGGGTGGACTGCCGTCGGAACGTTTTCTATTTTCGTGTATCCCAGACGTGGAACTTACTTCCGCATATTGTCAAAACTGCTCGTACGTTGTCCGAATTCAAAAGTCGACTTGACGATACATTACAACACCTAGGTTACATGATTTCACCCAAGTTAATAGAACACAAAACAAGGTAACCAAATTATGTGTACACTAAAAATGTGCGGTAAGTACACGGTTACGCAAAACTCTTTTTATACATCCGTTTTTATCTCATTATTAATCTACGGGTTCACAAGTTTTGTAGCAACTCCTTTGTATGCACCAAATTACGAAGTAAAATTATGTGACTAGTCTATATGATAAGGAACAATGGAACAGTGGTTTTATACGGATTGAAAAGCGGAATCTAAACATATCGTGTAAAAGAATGTGAAAAAAATGTAATGTTAATTAGTTTACGTTGGTGAATCTTACGTCTCCTGGTGGAACATACAAGAGACGCAAAAGAGGTAACATAGCCTGGAATTGGTCATTAGTAACACCTTTTACAGACTATTGTGTTTGGCCATTGACACTGAGTCTTGTGAAATAGTGTATCGAAATGAGCAGACAGTTAACTGGGGCATTGAACTCTACCGGCGTGGGAGCAAATATGACAGATTCCGGTAGAGCATTCCACACGTGACAAACGCGTACAGTAAAGCATTTTCGACGGCATTACAAGCAACTGTACTGCTCTGATAGCTTGAGACGTTGACCACTGAAATTATTGTGCCAGCTCTAGCAAATGGCAGAAAGTGTGAATAGGATCGATGATAATACGCTAAGTCAAAATAAGTTCCCCCCACGCAATCGCCACTGTTGTTCGCTGATGACGCCACGCACTCTAAGCCTTCGTTCATAAGGTAAACGACAGAAACCCCTGATATTCATGGTTGTGCGGCTTTGCGGTTGTTGATGTCTCTTCTTAGCCGTGGTTGCCAAAGTTAAACCGATGCATAAGCTGGGGTTGTTAAAATTCGACGGACTGATTTGTCAGAAAGCACGCCTCAGGAAACCCGCGTGTTCAGATGCTTCTTCTTGACGCTTTTCCAGCATGATTCGCAAACCAAGGTTAACCTTGAGCAAAACGGTCAGATGCATTTAGCCAAAATATTTTTCAGTCTCCTGGTTACCAATTAGTAGGAGCACACCAGCTGTTGCCATAAGGGCAGCACTATACAGTTATCCACATTAAACCGAAGTAGATTCAGAATTGAGCACGCATTAAACCGTAACCATTTCTGCTTAAATTAGTGTGATGTCTTCTGGTGTATATAACATCTTCCACATCTGAATATTATCGGCCTAGAAGTAGCAGCTCGATCTCATGTTGCGCTTGATATTTTGACATGCGTCAAAAACAACCGTGGTGCCAGCAGCGAGCGTTTTGCCCTTCCACATTCAACTTGATTGAGCTGCAATATGTATTCACGCACTCCTATCTCCAGGTGCTGCTAAAGAATAAAGCTTCTGATCCACCATAAGAAAACATCACTAATTGCAATGGTGTGGTTTTTGTCGAGCAGTATGTCATGGTCTAACAGGTCGAATGCATTAGAGAAGCCGCGAAAGATTACATCAACCCCTATGCCAGCATCTGCTGCTTCGGTCCAACTGGACAGTGTTAGTAATAGATTTATAGTGCAGGAAAGACTTCGGCAGCAGCCATGCAGTTCTGGTGCGATTTAGGTAAATTCTTTCAACTAGACTGTAAGTGTGTCAGTAATACTAGTCCACATGTAAACTGAAAGTACCAGGAGTAGGATTACGGTACGGTAGTTTGCTGGATAGGAATGATTACCCTCCTTGTGGATAGGAGTAGTCCTCCCATGTTGCTACATGTCGGGTAAGTGTACTAGTTCAAAGGAGTATTGTTAGAAGCTATCCAAAGGCTCAGCTAAGCTGTCTTCTACGACCGAAATGGATTTTGAGTGAATATTTTAAAGCGCGCTGTGCTTACGTAAAATTAATAGCCCTTTTAGTACTGTTTCTAATGTGAAGTATAAATAAGTAAATATTTTGGGTGAGGTAACGCTTGTCATAGGGCTAGACGGCCAATAATCACGTTGAAATGTTGGAGCCCATTGCAGTCGCATAGTATTCGTCGCATCCTCCGGGGTCGGAATCTGTTCCCCCGCCGTTTGAAAAGGAGTAATTCCCCGTTTCAACTTATGTAGACTTTGCATTTTGATACGACCGTTTTCGATTTGAGATCATAAGCCATACCAAGTTCTGCTGGCGTGCTATTCTACCCTCACAAACAATTTGCATACAGTGGTTACTTCAGGTCTTATGGGTCAACCAAGTCTCCGTACCGGAAAGAGTTTATAGTTATAACAGGTCGACTTTTGCACCGCCACGTATTTGCGTGTCTTGCTTCACAAGACAGATTAAATTGCGCAAAGCAATATGTTCAAACACATTCTGCCAATGTGTTGCTCCTTTAAAATTATGAATGCTCTCTTCCGTTATTTCAAATCTGCTTCATTATCCATTACCATGTTGTCTACCTACAGATGCCCTTCATCGTTACTCAAGGTTGTTATTCGTTTTTGGTGAGTATCTATTATGGTATGCCATTTCTCGTTAACCCACAGTCCATAATTTATGCACCATGTTAAATGCGAGTTTATTGTCATGCAATGAGTGATATTTGAGACCAACTCGATTCGAAAAATTCCAGTGTCATCATGAGCGCCCGTATAAGTGTGCATTTTCGAGTTAACGCATGGAGTGAATGTTAATAGGTCACGGGATAGCAACTCATTTGGTATTATTCTCTGGGTTACCAGGCTTGCATCAATAAATGCACATCATTCAAATGTAAAATACTCCCGTAAGGGACTCCCATATTCCTCAATCGGTAGTGCATACGTCAGCCACAATGTACACGTAAAGAAACAATTTGTATTTTGGTCAACAGCGAGTTTTTCAATTCGAATGATGCACACGTGTGCCGTAGATTACGCCGTAAAGGAACCCAATAAATATAAATCAATACGATTCATATAACTAAACCCAATGTAATTGTAAACGTACGGAATAAGCATAAGAGGATAAAAGCAAAACAAGGCACGGAATGACCGTAAAGGACAAGGATTTCCTTCTAGTGATTTAAATGATAAATATTTTAAACCCTTATTAGTGTAATGTACCAAGCTTTTAGCGTGGTTCATTTTCGAAATAGCGTGCGGTACTTTCAACTTAGCGAGGCTGAGAACGCTGATTTGGCGTCCTTGACACTCTCATTGGTTATGGGACGTAAACCAATGGGACACCGGTTAGAAGCTGTCAGCAGAAGAGACAGACAGTCCAATGAAAGTGGTCAACCACCACCTTCTGTTCTGCCTTGATGCCCCTCTGGAGTAAACCTCGATGATTGGTCTCCAACCTGAAACCGACCAATAGGCACGTTGTGATGCGTGTCAAAGGAGGAGATGCTAGCTACCACATTATCCAAAGCTTAAGACTTAACCAGTGTGGACAGACATACTAACCAGCACATGAAGCGGTCTATGGCGATCACTGGCGGCTACCTAATGGTGGCTTATTCAGCGGCCTAACCATGGTGGCGTAGACAGACAACCATCTAACTGGTATTCCACAGTGCAGCAATGGCTGCTAGGCGGTTAGACAATTGTGTGCGAATGTCATTGCAACGATCCTGGGGGACATACTTTCCACAGAAGTTAGTAGACCAATCTGAAGCTGAACAACGAAAATTCTAAGGTTGCTTAATTCCATCACAGTTGATGACTCAACAAAAAGTAATAGGATTCCAAGTGGAGCGTTGACACGACGTCAGTGAATGTTCGTTTGTCTCCATACCCATGGGCGAAATGTTAATCAGTTATCGCTTCAGTGTCTCCATTTATGGCGTTATGTAAAGGTCATAGGAACCTATGAATTCTTAGGATAATTACGTTTCACTTCCATATGGTCGCCCATGGGGACGTAGACAGAGAATAATCTAACTGGCATTCCGCACGTCAGCAATGGCTGCTAGGTAGTTATACAATTTTGTGCGATTGTTATTGCGACGATCATGGAGGACATGGTTCCCATCGAAGTTGATAGACAAACCTGAAGCTGAACAATGAAAATTCTGTTTGCTTACTTCTATTACAGTTGATGGCTCAACAAAATGTGAGAGGATTCCAAGTGTGGCGTTGACACAACGTTAATGAGTGTTCGTTTGTCTCCTAACCCATGGGAGACTTTGTTAGTCAGTTATCACTTCAGTGCCTACATGTATCGCGTTACATAAAGGTCATAGGAACATATGTATTCTTAGGATAATTAGGCTTCACTTCCATATGATCGCCCATACGTGTTGAGACGCTTTCACAAGTGGCTCTCCAAATGGAACTATTAGAAGCACAGTCAATGCAGATGGAACCTCCCTATTACGTCAATGGACTGGCATGCTCTCCTCAAACAATCGGCATTACTCAACAAAGTAACACTTAAAGGGGCCACAATGACTACGGTGTTTATACATGCCACATCGTCCTGCTAGGAAGAACGCAAGACTTATGATTAGTGGCGACGCAACATGTTACTCTGGTACTTCAGGGGAGTACTTGGAACAAATAAACACTGTTGTCTCACCCACGGGCGTTCCTACAATGTGTTTGCAATCACTTACAAAGGCAACCGCGCCCACTAAGCCTGCTATGGATCACTGGTTCAGCTAGTTTTAGAAGCATTCATGTATGCAGGCCGTGACACAGGTCGTTAGCGACTTAGCAGCTACTGGAAAACATTTTGTCAATGGAAAGTAGGTAATTCCGGAGACATTGTTGAAGGAGGAAGATTTCTCCAAACTCTATGCTTACTATGCGCATGCAATGCTCGTAGGCACCTCATATCAGGGCCGTAGGGTCACTTGAGTTTTAAAGCTTATCAATCACTTGGAAGTGAAGGGTAAATATCATGTTGAAACGCAGGATTGACATGCATCTTATGACCTTAACATAACGACAGGACCATGGGTCCTGTAGCGGTAACTGATTACCGAAGTGGCCCACAGGTGTGGCGACGAACGAACCCTCACTAATGTCGTGTCACCGCCACACTAGTAACCCACCTCTCTGGAACAATGGCTACAGATGCAATGATGATCTTACCTACACAGCGAACTTGATGTTAGTATACAATGCGCCGACTACATATGCAATGCTTATCTACGCTATTCACATGAGTGTACGGCCAACTGAAAAAAACAGCCACGAGAAATTTGTAGCTGTAAAGCTTCTTAAAAATTCTATTTGCCAAGTTCTAGCTTTACCTCCTTCATACGAATTATTGCATTGTTTCCGATTACCTCACACTGCGTTAACAATCACACGTACATCCTAAGCGTAGTCGCACACCTATCGATTCTCCAGATTGATCGCAGTGGGCACGGATTACACCAAACATACCG